AAAGATAGCAAGTAGCACAATTTTGTCCATACATTCAGCTCAATCCTCAATTCCAAAAGAAAGAAAAAAATTAAATAGTTCATTTTCCAAATTTAAAAATTATTTCAACCTAACCATTTTCAAGTTTAAAAACTTAAATTCAATTAAGTTTTTTCACCCACCACATTTACTAGTGTAGACAAATTATGTAGACAAATAATGAACAAAATTAGTCTCAATTCTACCACATTCTTCCCATGTATCCCCTGGCAACACATGGTAAGCTCACACAAACCATCATTGACAGCAGATAAGACTGTCAATTCTATCTTTTGTTTAGCAGTCTAGCTAATCTGAATTTAATATCACCTCTTTGTTTGTGTAGGGTTAAGTGGTAAATTGCATTTTTGGTATTTTCCATTTTTTACAAAACCAGAGATGAATTAAACAAGGCAGTCAAGCTGTCAGATAGGCAGACATATGTCATATATGGATAAAAACAGTATAACTAAAAGGAAGAACAACTATTTTAATGACAAAAGAGCAAAAAAAACTTTTTTCTTAGTTGTGATGAAAGTGGATTTTACATGAAGGTAATTCTGGGTTATTTGTCTGATGTTATACTGGTCACTTGGCTAGGAATATTCTCATCTGGCTAATTTTTTTTAACTTACTAAACAAAATCGTAGCACACTCCAGTTAAAACAACACTGCTTAATTACACCCTTAATATTATTTCACTTTGCAATTTTAATTATCAAAACAATTCATAAAAGCTATTTACAAAAGACACGAGGATATATAAAAACATTTATGTCTCCCTAAAACAGGCTATATTTTCATGGTTTTGCTTCACAAAACACAGTCAAGTGCATTTATGCACATCATTACATTTATTAATATAAACAAGTATTCTAAGTTTCACCACTATCATAGGTATTAATGGAAAAAAACTTCAAATATAAGCCAAGGAAACAGATAAGCAATGCAGACACCCTGATGGCTATCATGGGGTTATCATCTAAAACCCCTGCGAGAGGGGTGTAGGGTGTCTTTTCTCTCTAATTAAATTCTGAATATCTGCCGTCTCCTTCCCTTGAGGTGATCAGCAGTTTGATAACACTTGTTTCATCACCCCTGTAATTGAATTTTACAAATAATCTCAACAAACGTCAAAAAGGTGCAAATTCACTTGTCATACAACAATCAAGTGATACATTTTTTTACTTTTGTTCTTTTTTAAGATAATTATAACAAAGAAGTGTTTTATTTTATTTTTTTGTGTGTTCTATTGCTTAATTTGACTATTTGGGTCATTAGGAATTCATAGGAGAACATGGGGGCAGGATAATGGAGTTCAAATGATAATGGATAGATCAACCACTAACTATCATATATTATACACCTTCAAGGCCTTCTACTACTTACACTTCAGGACCAGGAACTTGCATACATAACATTTATACACTTTACAGGGCAAATGTAATATAATGAGAGGTACAGCAAGTTTTCTTATAATTTTGATGAGAGATCACAGTTAAATTCAAAATCACTACAAGACAAACTTCCATCTTGTTCCTCTTGATTGTATCATTGATTTATCTCGTCTTGTCATCTTTGGTGCTAGTAAAGACCTGCCATTTCCTTGCCAATTCCGTCTCCAGTTAATCTGTTTAATCTGGACCTATGTTCCTTGCATGGAAAAAATAACATCTTGGCAGGAGCAGGATCTTATCACATCTTATCAAAACTCACTGGCGCCTTTTTCATAAATTCTAAGGCGATAAAATGAAATATAATGTTATCGCAACCTTTAAGTTCTAATTTAAAAGAAAGCATGTGGATTTTTTGCTACTTATCAACAAGTATGATTAGAATACTGAAATTAATAAATTCTGATTCAAAAGAGATTATGAGGGGATTTGAATAAAGTTTAGAGGAGTTGCCTTGCACTACTTGTAGCAGTAGTCACCATCAAATAAAATCTCTCACATTTCTGCCAACAACAATTGAATGTGTTTTTGCTGTCAATAGATAACAGCAGAATAGCATGTTATGGGTGGCATCAACACAAGCTTGTCAATGTTTGTCCCAGTCTTAAACACAAGTCCATGTTGTATGTAATAATAGTGCACACTACATTTGTTTTATTAAAATAAACAGGACATCTAACAAGACAGTGAAGCTGTCAAATGTAAAGACAAAAAGCAGAAAATAATGATGCACGAAATAGGTTATTTTGTTAATTTTGATGCAATAGTACATAATTTGTAAAAACAAAATCAACACCAATTTTTAATTATGCACAACAGGTAACAAAGAAATTAAGAATATGTAACTAAGGTTTAAGTCCTATGAGAGTTCAAGTTCATACTTTGAAAATGCCAGAATGATAAAAATTACAATTTTACAAAAAACATTGCATAACAAAAATAATTAATCCAATCAACCTGGTTTTCCAATTATAACTGAATGTCAATCTTAAGAATCATTCTTGAAAGTTACAAAATAATAAGTAACAAAAAAACAGTTTTATCCTAGAATAAGTTGCCATAGCATCAATAATTACTTGGGTTTCCATCACTTTTTGAGTGATAACTTCAAAAATGTAAAAACAAAATGAAAAAAATCAGTTTCATGCTAAAACTAATCACCATAGCAACAAACTATGCATGAGTACCTTACACTTTGAAAGCACTCCATCTGTGAAGAAAATTCAAAACAATTTAAAAAGATATTTGAATTTCCCCTTCGGTTCTATAGTAATTGAATCCAAAATTCAAAACCACTATACATCAAAACTAACATGGGTGCTTTTCATTTTTTCAATCTTAATATGGATGCAATAGTGTCAACTATGCATGTAAAGATTTAAGAAAAACCTGTCAGAAAGAAATATCGTAAGGACATTACCTAAATCAATATCACAAAAAGAATCTACTAATTAAATGCAGAGATATAAACTGTCAGCAAAAAGAGTGCCTCTGGATGCAATACCATATCAGTTATCATTTCTACCCTAGTTGACTTATGATATTTTACCTTTCCCAACAAAATTCATTGTTATTGACTGCTGGTCAAGGTATCATACCTCCTATTGCCATTAATTAACCAGATCCATTTAGAACACATTTCCTATAGGTTCATGGCAAAAAAGGACATGAAAAAAATGAATGTAAAGAAATCCATTAGTGGCTTTCAGATTTCCACAATCTACTCAATAGCAACATTCTATAGGAAAAGATAGCGAGTGACTGAAAAAGTTCATCACAGTCTTTGTGATGGCATGATAGCTCACAAAATATAATAAAGCCATTTGTTTGTCAGACAGAATAGTTTATCAGAACCTCCACAGAATGTTGTCTAAGTTAAAAAGGTTGAAATGCCCATCTATCTGTCAGTATCTGGCACAGCCACTGGGTCTTCCAGTTGATGTTGAAGTATTGATCTTATAGAAGTTGTGATCAAAAAGCCTTATCTCCTTTACTCCAGCTTGCAGTTCAGCCTGGTATAATTACTCTTGGCAGCAACTGTTGATAAGGAGTAGGCCTTATCTCCAACTAGCATCAGTTATATCATAGGCACCCATCTCCCTTCTAATGGATTAATACAACCATAATCTATCATTTCAGAGAGGTATTAATCTTCCCATCGGTAAATGTATAAAGAAGGCAGTGTATGACTGATTTTATCACACATTAGGCTTTGGACGTGGCCCTTCTGGTGCTGAGAGATAAGACTTGTATACCCACACGCCCAAAAAAGCAATTACAGATCACATAGCTCTGTCAAATGCCAAAGCCTTTTTGCTGATACAGCTTGTGAAATGATCCAGAATAATAAAGTTTCAGCTTGTAGATTCATTTGGACCATGCTGCTATTCTTTACCATATGTGCTGATGGGGAAAGGTGATAAGAAGTACATATGATACTTTAGATTTTATCTTTTCGTTTCTGTCAGCCTTTCATTAGAACTTGCAATGCAGCCAAGTCTCTGATCTTTATCTCAGAGCTGGCCCACACAATAGATTAGAGTTACGACGCTTCTTAACAGGAAGAATCCAAAAGAAGATTGTTGGACCGCATACAATCCCTTCTTTATAAATCTAAGCAGAAGAATGTAACCTGATGATGAAGACTGGAGATCATTTATCAGTCAATGGAATTTCAGCTGAGATGCCCTCATTGAAAATTCTTTATAATAATGTTTTTATTTTTAAAAAGGGGAGAGAAAAACCAATGTTGAAAATACTTTCCTCATACTTGTCTTCACTGATTTTTATCCTTAATCTAAAATTTATGTTGTCTATGAGAATATGAACTTTAATTGATACACAGTTCTGGCATGCGAGTGCTTAAAACTTTGCCAGTTTGGTAAAATATTGCCATTGGTTCAAAACTACATGGAACAAGGACCTTGTTTTAAATAGAAATCACAATATGATAAAAAAAAATCAATCATTATATGAGTGAGATCAAATGAAATCAAATGCCAATCTGCAATTTCATCTTTGAATATCTAATCGATTTAATTTAAAATTAATTCCGCATACAGTAGGTCAGTGACAGTAACAACTTAACACGAGCGTGATTTAATATTTCAAAAGGGAGGGGGGGTATAATGTGGCGGTTGACAATGTGCAACGAGCACTGACTGCCTTGGCACAAGCACAGTGAGCAGGAAAGGGTGCCCAACAAAGATCTTTCCCGTGGTATCTTCCCTGACAGGGGAGATAACAAGACGACGGTATCAGTTGGACTGATAATTGAATGTCAGCAGCATAAAGGCATTCATTGATCTTTAAAGACAATTTTTTAATTTTTTCTTTTCTTCATGTAATTCAAATAGCACTAATGAGTACTGCACATACTCACGTTTGAAAGGCTTTGGATTTGACTGTTTCCGCCTGGACATTCTGTGCGTGTGCCCTCATGTGTTGAACTGTGCGGTTCTTGTCGATCACCTACACAAACTGCGCAGTGACCTCGCATATGCCTGCGCCATGACCCTGGCCTCGTTTTAAATAGCTGTACACAATATGGTGGCCGCCCTGGTGAGGTAAGGGAATATAAAAGTCAAGGATAATTAAACAAAAGTTTAGAACTCCCATAGCCCTTCCAATGAAGTATTTACGATATTTACGACGACTACATGTTGTAGCTAAAAATCAGTTATTGGTTGCAGTCCTTATGCATCCACTTGATAGCATTAGCACGCGATCGCGTATCCCCTCAGCCGCTCCCATAACTCAGTGGACCAAACGAAAAACTGATGCCCTGGCCACAGCTTAGGGGTGACCATATGAACCACAATAGACCCATCATACCACGTCCAGTGGTGTGTTTAGCGTGTTCTTCATGGACATCATTGTCTTAAGTGTGTTATTTTTGCTGTTACCTTCAGTAATTGTATATTTACCGGCTATATCTGACGTTAGGCCCCTCCATCAAATTCCCATGGCCGCCCCCTGCACGTTCGGAACAAATGCACGCTTTCTTGGGGGGCTTTAGGAAGGAAAATAATGACAATTGTCGTGTCGAAGCCGTAGTTAATGTGTCACATATCTGACATAAGCCAAGCAGAAGCTTCAAATCATGGGAATATCGCCTGTGCATGATTTAAAATTGGTTATTTTCCTAGTTGATGTAAAATCAAAGAGATTAATGGAGTTTAGTATAACGAGATCATGCATGTATCCAAACATTATTTTGCAGGTATGGGGAGCATTTTTCATCAAAAAGGTTAAAGTTATTACTATATAATTATTGGAAGGAATATTAAGGTTTGAAAATAAATACGTAACGTGTAATTGAAGTGTGCACGATGCTTCCTTATGTAGATTTTTAATGCAATTAAACAGTTACAAATTTGGCAATGCCAGAAAATAAGTCCTGCATTAAAATTTTTAATCCAAGTGCCAAATATTTTCCAAAGAAGTCAGCTTTTCAAGAAATGCAATAATTAACATGTGGCAATGTCATACACACCCAAGCCCTGCACTTTATTATAAAGTGTTCCAGTTTTGTCCTGCATTTCATTTGCCAAATGCTGGCAACATTATGTATGTGTAATAAGTATAGTGGGTGAGAGTTTTTACCTGTCAACAATAAGTAGTGAATTCTTATTACCATTAAAAGCAAGTCTCACAGTAAGTAATACTAAATACTTATATGTATGTGAGTCTCGTCTATATTTGTCAGTGATGGTTTCAAAACATTTCAATACAATATACTGCACTTACTTGTGATTTAAACTAGGTGTTTATATCACTTAAATTGCCTAGCTCTGTCATCAACACTAGCATCACCATGCTCTAACCAGGAACTTTTACTTGTAAATACACTACAAAGTTATTTATGAATAAATGTTTATAAATAGCAATGTCTTATTATTTTCAAACTTGCAGGACAGCTTAACTAGATTTTTTCTTTGAAGGTATAATATCAGCATTTTGAAATGACCCAATGTCATAATTTTATGTCTAAGTATCTTGCAAAACGACTACTCTTTCCGAATTCAGACCTTAAAGATGATAAAACCCCTCTTATAAAAGACCCTGAACTCCATATTTCCCTCTATAATGTACAGGAAGACAGGGTGGTCTGGATGACGGGTCAGTCATTTATAACTTAATGGTTTAAATGGACAAACTGTAAGGTATTCTTGAACATTTTTAAGGACAAGTGATACTTTTTTATCATTTTAACAGATAATGTGATGGATTTATGTTGCCAAATTTTGATCTTATTTATCACCTGACAAACATTGCAGGTACAACACAGAAGTCAGTGCTCGAACTGATTGCAGAGTTTGAAAATTCAACACTTTAGTGTGGATTTAGGACTTATCCATTTTTTTTTTTTTTTTTTTTTTTTTTTTTTTTTTTTTTTTTANAGCTCTGTCATCAACACTAGCATCACCATGCTCTAACCAGGAACTTTTACTTGTAAATACACTACAAAGTTATTTATGAATAAATGTTTATAAATAGCAATGTCTTATTATTTTCAAACTTGCAGGACAGCTTAACTAGATTTTTTCTTTGAAGGTATAATATCAGCATTTTGAAATGACCCAATGTCATAATTTTATGTCTAAGTATCTTGCAAAACGACTACTCTTTCCGAGTTCAGACCTTAAAGATGATAAAACCCCTCTTATAAAAGACCCTGAACTCCATATTTCCCTCTATAATGTACAGGAAGACAGGGTGGTCTGGATGACGGGTCAGTCATTTATAACTTAATGGTTTAAATGGACAAACTGTAAGGTATTCTTGAACATTTTTAAGGACAAGTGATACTTTTTTTATCATTTTAACAGATAATGTGATGGATTTATGTTGCCAAATTTTGATCTAATTTATCACCTGACAAACATTGCTGGTACAACACAGAAGTCAGTGCTCGAACTGATTGCAGAGTTTGAAAATTCAACACTTTAGTGTGGATTTAGGACTTATCCAGTTTTTTTTTTTTTTTTTTTTTTTTTTTTTT